TTATTTTTTATTTTTCAAAGCTTTGTTCTGTCTTTCTTTTCAAAAATTTTGTTTTACCTTCACCGCTTTCGTATTGAGGCCAAAATTCTTTCTTCTAGCTTTAAACACAAATACGAACATTTAAAACGTGACCTCGCTTAATTTTAAATTTCTCCTTCTGATTTACTCTATCTTTACTGCTGCACCTTCTTTGGCCTCAGTACGAAAGCGGTGAAGGTAAAACAAAATTTTTAAAAAGAAAGACAGAACAAAGCTTTGAAAAATAAAAAATAAAAACTAAGCCTAGTTAAAACCTCAACTTAAACAAATATTTTGCTTGTTTTCAAAAATTCGCTTATTTACGAACATTGTGATACTACTACTGGCTGAACTGATTCGCAGAAGAACATTGGTTATCTAAATCCAGCGTTTTTGAGGCATAATAATTTGCTAACTCTAGCGCAGTCACAAAAATTAGAGATGAAAAATCATAATAACTTCTTTACCGCTTCACTATTACCAGATTTACCTAAATCACGTAGTAACGTCTGAAAAACGGGGATAGAAATAAAGGTTATGAGTGCTAAAGTTGTACGTATAAAAAGCCCAAACGTGTCTCAGAGTATTTTACGTATAGTTTATCATTTAGTTTAATATTTATTATTACTGTCTTTCTCTTTGAAATAATTTTGTTTCTGATAAGATGTTGCTTTATACAATATCTCTACTTGAATTTAGCTATGAGCCAAAAGATTATTTGAGTTTATAATTTTATAGGCCTGAAGTTATCTAAATCCAGCGTTTTTTAGGCATAATAATTTGCTAACTCTAGCACAGTCACAAAAATTAGAGATAAAAAATCAAAATAACAGGTCAAGTCATCAGCAATTTTAGGTAAGCGGTCAAATAGCTGGTAACTCTATGTAGAACGGCATTAGTGTTTGAGAAAGAGTGCAAAAAAATTTTACTTTATTGGCTTATAGAATGCCCTAATGCACTTTATAAAACATTCATCGATAATATAATCGAAAATCTCCTAACCGAACTCCACCTCATTTGTACACCGTTTTTCTGAGCGCTAAATAAATTCTGTTTTTTTCGCATCAGCGCACTACTTTCAGAAAGTTACCACTACTTCTCAACTTACCTCAAAGTTGAGTACTTGAACAGTTTTTAGCAGTGACGTGGTGCTGCTGTATCCGAGAACCTCTTCTATTTTGCCATTCTTCTCGCTGACGTCTCTGCCTGCCTGTTATCACTAACGATTGAACCCACTAAAAATGCCTTTCTATTACTTAGAGACCTCTAACTGGGGATGTCATGTTTCCACCACTATACAGGAACTGTAGTGCCCTTAGTCAAGGCTCAACACATTCGACACGTCTTCTTAATTGCTGTAAATTGCGACGGCAGCGACATCAACGTTGTTGAAGTTTTCCTGAGAGAGTCTCCGAATTGTATATAAGGCCGTCAGCGTAAGGTAGCTCAAAGGTTTAATAGTGGAGAATGGCTTTATAATTTATGGAAATTCTTCATCGACCTTTATTCAAAGAAAGGACAAATTGTGTAACTGGTAGGTATAGAAGAGAAAATTCATAAAGGTTTGTTTATAGTTATAAATATTCCATAAAAAAAAGAAAATCAAAAAGAGGAAAAGCCGAAAGCAGAAATATAGTAGACTTGCAGATGAGTTGCAGAGTTTGATTCAAATTTTTTTTTATTGTTTTACATCTCTTATTTTTTCTTTTCTTCTTTACCGCATTTTTTTCATTTGCTCCATTTTCTAAGAGATTGTTTCACTGAAAAAAACTTTACTGTTGCAGCAATAATTGCAATCTTAGCTGTTGCTACATTGACCTGAATGTCTTTCTTACCATCTTTAGTTATTTCTTTGTATTAGTACTTGTTGGTTCGTTTTTTGTTTTTATCATATCTTTTTAATTACAGGTACTGGATGAAAGGAATGTTGAAAAAATTAGATTTTATTGGATTTTTTATAGCTTTTAAATGTCTATTTGGTGTAGAAAGGAAGTCAAGAGATTGCAAAGTTAATACAAAGCATCGATTTTTACAAATCATTATTGTCTTAGTTGTTTTATCTAATATGTTTTTTAAATTTGGTATAGATAAAGATTTCAATTAGCTGTATTTTGTGATTATCGTTGTCTGCAAGACTGTAAAAGAAAAAACTGTTTAGAATTATAGGTGGAGAATTGTTACTCTGTGCACTGTCTTTTTGACGGTTCTACTTTTAAAGTGTCAGAAAAAGATTGTCAGAAAAAATTTTTTGGAGTGGAGAGTATTTGTTTTTCTAATACAAATAATTTTCTCTTTGTATACAGTTGGACAATTCTTCTGGCTAAAAACATCGTTAATTTTTCTTTGATTAGAAAACCAAATTTTTATGTAAGCAACAACCATTTTGCATAACGCCGGAAATTTTTAAGAGTCGGGCAAGTTGTTGCGCGCGCGATAATCTTGTTTGTACTTCTTAATTTTTAGAAATACTCAGAAATGTACAACAAGCTCTGAATAGCCTTTAGCAACTGTTTCTAAAAAACTATTTTTTGAGAAGGCGCTAACAAGCGAAGTACTAGAGACAGGTGATATAGAGAAGCGGTGAAAAAGTTAATGAAGTATTATCAGCTGCTCAACGTTTACTGCAGTGTAAGGCATGCTGCGCAATTAAGCAATGTTTTATAATGGATAAACAGAGAAAAAATTTTCAAGCTTTTTCAATATTTTCAAAATAATAAGCTTAGATTGTCAGCTCTGCTATCTGATTATGCTCCTTTCTCGTGGAAAATGCCGTTTTTGTACCTGTTGTGAAACTCAAGATGATTGCAGATGTTACTCACCAAAGATTTTCGGCTCTGTTTCGCTTGATTTTTAAAAACTAATAAAATAACATGTTCTGCTAATTCCTCAACTGTGATTTTTTCAAGTAAGCGTCACAAATTGTAAGTTACTCTAACAGATTTGTAATTCAGAAGATTTTGTTTAGCTTCACTCTTGCCATTTGAAATAATCGCTAATTGTTTTTCTGAAAATCAGGAATAATTTTAGTAACATCACTTCAAATGTGATATAAAGTGGTTTTGTTAGTACACTTAATGCTTTTTAAAAGCAGCTGAGAGGATCATGCCAGAACCAGTCGGTGTTTCATTTTTAATTTCTTAAAGCAATGTATAGGTTACACTAAGTTTCACTACTGAAACATAACAATCTTAAAGTCGCATTTTAATATTTCATCTATTACTAAATAGAAACTGAAACAAAATAACTGTTTAATACATCAGGCTTACTGAAGTTAATATCACCTTCATTAAGTCTATAATTGGAGCATCAATTTTATTTTAATTGCAAGGCTTATTTCGTAAGACTATTTAACAGTTTCGTAAAAATGCCCTTTCCTGAGCCGGAAATAGTTACTTATTGCCTTAGTTGAAACATAATACTTTTTATTCAGTTGTTAAAACGTACTTTACTAAAAGATTTAGCAAAAATTTTAAACCTTTAATTACGTATTAACAACTTGGCTTTCAAAATTGAGAAAAAAGTCAGTGTTGTTTTTACATTTCTGTGGATATCATTTAAGTATTCTTTTCTGTCATCTTTTGACTTCTTTGGCGCACGTCTTATTCTCCAGCAAAGAAATCTCCTGCGTAGTAATTTGAAAAGAGTAAGCAAGTAACGGTACTTAAGAAGAAGAAGCGCCCTGATTTTGATTTCACTTTTAAAGGAAATACATTTTCGCTTCAGTCTTTTCAAGATTATGCAGTTCTAATCTTCTTGTGTTTAAGTCACTTCGACAAACAGTGAAATCTGAATTTACACAGTAGAAGCACTGTAAGCTTTAATCTTACCTTATATTTTTCCAAAGTTTAAATTCCTTTTAGCTTTTTGAATTTTAAGAAAAAATTTTGGCATCAAAAATCGAGAAAATGGCTGTAACCACGAGGAAGAAACTTTTTTCTCTTCTCGTTTTGCACTGTAACCAACAAGTTTTCTTTCGTATTTCGCTAATAATTAGATAAACGACTTTCCTTTGATAAAGAAAAAGCGACAGATTAGGAGTTGGCTTCTGCCGTGAACAACTTCAAAAAAACTTGGCAGACTCAACGAATATATCTTATTTTAATTTCACCATGTATCACAAAATTCAAACATTTATATTTCAAAATACTATACATTACAGTTTATGAATTAATATTGAATAAATAAAAAAAAATCCCAGCTTTTCAAGACAAGTTTGCTGCGAAATTCTTACAATTAAACATATACAGTGCATGTGTGGTGTTTCAACCTTCCTAGAAGGAAAATATAAGAATATTAAATGGCACAACAACAGACGCTTCAGTTAAGGCTGCTTCAAATACCAAAACCAGATCTATAAAACAGTTTTCGGATAAGAACGAACACTCCCACAATACTCCCGCACTTGATACGTATGTATTTTTGTACCAACAATATAATGTCTTTTCCTTTATAAAACTATTATAACAATCGCTACAGTTTCAGGTCGTCCAACAAAAAAAATTAGAGTCTAAAATTAGAGTTAGAGTCCAGTGCAAAATTTGTCAAGTTCTGACGAAGGCAAATCCCAGAGCACTGCATAATTTAAAATTACAATTCAGCAAACCATGGGTTACACCGCATAGTATTAATTAAAAAACTTTTATTTCGCGGAAGCAAAGCATAATTCTCAGGTACGCAGCACCTAGTCGATGAAGTAGTTGCAGCTATATAAACTCCCAGGCAACACTATATTCAAAAACGGTTCTGCTCCAGGAAAAACATACCTGTTAAAAGCGTCAGGAGTGTTCTCCTAAAAGTAAATATTATAAAAAACAATTTTCTTGCACTTGAAAAATTTAAAAAGTTTGAAAGCAATATTTTTTTTAGAAAGCTGTAAGAGTGTGTATTACTCGATGTAAAATTTCAAATAAAGATTAGAACCTGAATAATGTTTCTTAAACGACGAACAAGAAAATTAAAGTCAGGTCGATCTGCTGGATTTGTTCTCCAACAAGCTACCATGATATTGTATCTGAAAGATAATGATAAATAGTTAAGAAGTTTTTGAGTAAATCCATTAGACTTTAAAATTTTTCATAAATGATAACTTTTGTGCTTCTTTGATAGCTAAAAAATTCGTCACTAACATTGAGTCTGGACAATGAATTGGTTGCTGCAGCCTCAACCCAGTCATCAAAAATTGACGAATCTTTGAATTTGGGATATCTTCATACGGGGATGCTGCTCTTGTGAGCAGCTCCCAAAACAAAACGCCAAAAGACCACTGAAAAGAAACCCTCAATCGTTGAACGTTGCAGAGTTGCTTCATTATTGTTAGAAAAATCAATGGGAAAAAAACTAGTATCAGGTCACAATTGATGATGGAAGTATTTTGTCACATATCGTTAAAAAACTAATCCATTTGTCAGTTTTTTATGTCTGCTAGTAATTGACTGCTTTTCAAAAAGGTGAAAAAAACTAACCACGTCGGTTGCTGTATTAAAAATACGACGATCACGTAAGGACTCTGGTGCCAACCACTTCAGTGGCAACCTCGCCGGACCCGTTTCACTCTCATCCAGAAATGAATCTTTATCGTACAAATCAACAGCTAGTCCAAAATCAGCAACTTTTACGACTCTGTCGTGACTGACCCTAGAGAATTGGGAGATAAATAAGATGTACAACTTAATATTAAGCATACAAACGAAAAAAGTACAAGGCTTTCACCAGCGATATTCATTTTTTATTAAAATTGCAAATTAGTACAACGGTGACTGCATGCATGCAAATTAAAATTGACTTACATGCAGTTACGAGCAGCCAAATCTCTGTGAACAAATTTCAGTGATGCTAAATACGCCATACCTTGAGCAACTTGTAAGGCAAAGTCTACAAGTTCGAGGACACAAAACGTCTAAAAATTTTGGCTCAATAATTACGGTTTTTCAGTATTGTCGTTTTTAAACCTTATTGATTTTATGTGAAAAGCATCTCTTTTTAAGCTACAACTATCAGTTCTTTTTTATTATTTTGTATGGCACAGAAGATTGTGAAATAAAAGAAAGAGAGTATGAAGACCAGGTGAATTGCGCGGAATTAAAGACAGCCTCGTTGGCTTTTTTTAGTATTCTTAGTGACTACAAGAGAATAAATTTCTGTCAGCTTGTTCATTTTCGCGGAAAAAGATTGTTAGTGGGTCTTTTTTTTTCATGTGCGTGCCGTCATATATGTTTTACCGAGTACATTAAAATAACAAAACGGAATGTAAAAGTCACCCGAGTTGGATCTGCAATGTACGAGCGAAGGTCACCGTTTGACATGAACGGCAAAATTACCCAGGGATTACCGTTTGGCGTTATGCTAATTCCAATTAAACGTAGCACATGAGGATGATCGAAATGTTGCATGATAGCTCCTTCGCGAAGGAACTTCTCTATATGTCCAATATCCCGCGCCCGTTCACCTAAACTTCTGTCAGCGTAAACAGATTTTCAAGGATAGAACCATCTCATTGGTGACCAGATTAAAAAAACGCTTTCGCTGCTTTTCTCTTCCGTAAAAACAATTAGCAGAACTGAACGAGCAAGAAATAAAACAAAACTGCTTGCTTGAATCGGTTTGAACATTACAACGCTACCAAACAGTGCACTACCTTTTAGCGTTTTGACAGCCACTGGAATATATTTGGGAACTGATATATCTCGTAATCTCCCACGATAAACATTACCAAAATAACCTGAAATTGAGCATATGAAACAATTGATAATATTAGAAATACAACAAAAGAAACCACAAGGTACATCGCTTGGCAATTTTTTTTTAATACGTTGTTTAAAAATCTTTTCTTTCCGCAATTTCAGAAGGAATTTTATTGCTACACCGCATTTCATTCAAAGATTTTGTTTCCGCTCTCTTCTAAAGATATCGTCAAGTTATCCAGTCCAGAATTCTTCTGAGAATACATCAAAGTCACCAGACTGTTGGTAATTTTTCTACTTTACAATCTTTATAACTGCTGAGTCGGCTTTCATGTTTAAGAGCAAAGAACTTTAACAGCTAAAAATCTAGTTGAACAGACAATAAAGAACTCGACTGAATCGTACAGTTTCCGCATTTTCAGATTACTTTTTTTTGCAAATTTCCAACGATTTAAGGCTATTTTAAAAATTGTGTTTAAAGCTTAAAGTTTTTTGAGAAACTTTTATTTACAGTAGACTGTTGCTGTAGATATAAAATTGCTTTGAAACACTTGTTTAACAAAAAACTCTGTCACAATGCAGTGTTGGAGCACAGCATTACTAATATAAATTATAAATATTGTTTAGTAATGCATAATATACGCTTTGTTCTCGGTTGTCAATCGTTTACTAATCTGAGCAGTGCGAATAGCGTCGGAAAGTCCCTTAAACAGTTATGTAATTTAGGCACCAAAATAGAAAACAGTATTGCTTTTTTTGACTAGACATCTTGCTGATTTGTTGTTATTGCAAAACAGTTTATTCATCTGAACAAACTGCATGCTTTTCTCTCCTTCCGGTCTCCTGATATTTGTATTTTCCCCACTACCTCTTTTTGTTATTCTCTCTTTTTTATAGCTAAAAAGGTAAAAAGTCAATATTAAGCAAAAAATATTTTCAAACATAACTCTTTAAAGAAGCAGCTTAGCGTAGCTTAGTGTGCAATGTAAATGGTCAGATTAACATAAAAATTTTGTTGACCAGAGAAATTAAACTATTTTTCAAACAAAAAAATTACCTGGAATTCACCTCTTGTCCAAAAAATTATACAAAACTGTCGAAAAATACGACAAAATTTTTAACATTATTTTACAATTGGATCAAAATTATATTTTTCAACTTGTATTCTTAGATGAGCTAATCTTTAAAAGCTTTTGAATGTCTTTTATATAACTCCAGTACAACAATTTTCTTGTCAAAAATTAAACAGCGTTATTCGTTTCTATTATTTCGCTGTGATTGATAAAAATAAAGTGATAAAAAATAAAATGTATAGAAAAGAAACGTCTAATTGTTTTTATATTTAAAAAAACCAAATTACTTCACCAATTAAATTTTCGATTTTTAAATTTAGTTTGTCTTAATGGCTTCTATATCAGCTATCATTTATCGAACATTCCAGGCAAATCTCAACTATCAAATGGCGAAAGAAGCTTGAAAAAATAAACGTTTAGTTTTAATAGCTCATTTTTTTCGTTTACAATCACTACTCTGGTTTCCCCGTTTATTTTATTAATGTTGTTCAGAACAGGTAAGCAGTAAAGTGTAGTATCGTTATTCTTCGTAACAAATTTTCATTATAACGACAAGTGAATTTCAGTAAAAGAAAATCAAAACCAAATGTATAGAAAAGAAAAATATTCTACCTTATGCATTTTTAGGTGCTTCAGTTTTAAAAGAGAATACTCTTCAAAAACTGCAGTACTTCTGAAATAGGAACCATAAAAGTTCTGTTTCTACGCTTATCCTCCTTCTGAAATTACTTGTAAATCTGACTTGTTCAAAATAACGC